CGGTAGTTGCTGGTGATGTCACAAATAGCCGCCACCCGGTGCATATCATACTGCCACAAAGAGTGTCTCTGTATGTTGGTATCTGACACAGAGATCAGTGACAATGCAGTGGTATATGACGAGTTGGGAGTAAGCACGAGTTGCTTGGACACAAAAACATGGGAAAATAGACGTCAGGTTGAAAAACACCAAAGTAACCCTTAAAGCATCACAAATACAAGGCATTGTCTTGTACATTGTCAACCTGTTCTCATTCCTAAAGCATCAAATTTGGCAGTCTGGCCCTTGGCTTCTGTTACCAATGCAAAGGGCACCTTAAAGCATCTGTATAAGATGCACCAGGCTTTTACCTAACTCTGATGTAAACCTCTCTGAGGCAATAATATCGCACAAAGAGCCAGAAAGTCCAAGGAGGGCAGAAGGGAGGTGGAGTGGTAAAGGGGCCAAACACACTGGACTTTCACTCAGGAGACCACTGTTCCTGTCCCATGTGAAACCAAAAGTCAAGTTTTTCCAGCCATGAAACGTAGTTACTGGCATAAGTCATAACATGAAATAGTCATTGCCTTACGATACTAGCTTCATTTTGGTGGCCTGATCAGGGCATGAAAACTGTCCACCTGACCTCAGCAAAAAGACACGAGCAAGGGGCTCTATTTTGTGTTGTGTCTGTGCTTTACTCCCACCTTCCATTTAAAACACATTAATTAGTTCCTTTGCAGCTATGGCTGGAGTTTAGTACAAAAATAAGGCCACATATGTTGAACAGTTAAGATTCCGGGCTTTGTTGAAAACATTTGATGCTTATAAGCCCTGTAAACCCAGCCCTGGCGCCGCCCATGCCTGAAGTCAATATTTAATGTTCATTTTCACTCTGTCTCCTTCTGAACTATAGCAAATTGGTAGCCAGGTGCCAGGCAGAACCTGCCAGATACTGGAGTCAAAAATATGACTGCCGGACAAGTGAAGTCACAACTCATCACTCTACACCTCTCTGGAAGAGACAGGTCATCCTGTGGTCCTGACACAAACATGAATCCTCCTAACCCAAATAAAGCCATCCCGAAGCGCATCACCTACAGGTGCTGCGAAACAGATACCAATGCTTAGAGCCACTGAGGCCGTTTATTTTCCTCCCCGACAAAAGAGGCCAAAGAAAAATATCTGAAGTTAAAAGGAAACAAGGCTGCGCAACAGCAGAAAAGAAAAGATAAAAAGGTATGAAAACACTGTGCTTCACAGACAACAACACAGCAAAGGCTGTTGTACTTTGCATTAACACAGTCTGCATTTTTAAACATTACCCTGAGCTGTCTGTCTGGGTATAATTGGCACACAGAAAGTAAAATGTACAGCCTATGGTTTATCCATCCTACACATCTTTGCGCTTGGCCTAATGCTTTTTGTCCACACCCTGATACTGGAGTACTCAGCCAAGGGATTGGCTGCCCACGTGGTGACTTGCTGTCAATTGATCAAGGCCTGACTCCAGCTTAGTGCACCCTCACTGGAACCCTCAAATGAGGCGCAGCACAAATGCATTCATCTTCATCAGAGGAGCACAGGATAAAGTATCAGGGAGTTTTTTGTGCAGCAGAGACAGTCACAAGGAAAGCACTAAAACCAGATGATTTTTTGTCTCTTTTTGTAGTGCTTCGGGTACTATCACTATCACACAACATATCTGGGCGGTGTCCATGATGGAGCTATATTGCAGGTCCTTTCACCCGTATCTAATATTGTGGCGCTTCTCTGCAGTGTTTGTTAGCTTTTTGGAGATATGCCAACCGTGAAGACTTTTGGAGCACTGTAATTTGCAAACTTACAAATGCATTTTTTCATTTTGAATATGTTGCAATTATGTAAGCTTGATGCCCTAAATTTTTTGGCTAGTCGAATCTTTATTTTCTGCCGCATCTCTTTGATAAATCACCCCTCTACCAGAAGTCTTACTGACTGTGGTGAAAACACAGTGAACCTTCGGGGCTTTGACCTGTGTTAAAATTGCAGACGTTTGTATGCTGTGTACCAGTCAATACCAAAGAATAAAACAGCCCACAGATGGAGAATCCTGGATTTATTCTGGCCAGTGTAATTTATTAAACTGTTGCACATGCCCATTTATCATAATCAATCAAAGGGCAGCTGGGCCAAAAGAGCAATTTAGAGCACTGCAGAGTTATGCCATTGCTGAGTCTGTAATAACTTTGAGGAAGATTATATAAGGCAATATAGGGCCTTAGGGTACACTTTGTGTCAGAATGTAATGAATCATTCTTTACTTGAGATCTATAGCTTACAGATGTGTCCATAGGTTAATGCAGAGAATAGACAGTAAAAGATGAAAATGAATTAAGCGTGAACATACGAATGCATTTAAAGTAACAGAGATCAAGCAGGTCGTGTGGAGGATATATGGAGGTTTATGGCTGATTTCTTAAGCAATGAAACCAAGTATGCTATTATTCAAACCCTTGAACATTTCCTTTAACTTGCACATAATTTTCTTTGCATAACATGCACCGTGAAAAAACACAAATAAAACTTTCAACTCAACTAAGAGAAAAAAAACACACTTTTTCCCATGACAGTAACAATATTCTGTGGGTGCTATATAATTGGCAACTGCTTGCTCTGGGCAGACTTTGGATCCCTACACTATTGATTATGAGTAACACCAGATGCCAGAGTTGGATGAGCGATGAGCAGTGAGAGGATGGAACTGATGAGTGTGCCATGAGGGGGTTGTTTGTCTTTTAGCCAGGGAATTGTGTCAAGACTCACAACCTCCAATATCCATCAGAAACTAGCTGTCCAACAGACTACATGTTCATTAAGGCACATTAGACCTGTGAACATTTCCAATCTGAGATGCTGTTGTGATCCCACTGACTTTGAGAGGGTGCTTCCTGAGCAAAGTCACCAAAACATAAAAAAATAAACATCTCATTAATCTAGCACACAAAATAATATAACACTTCATCACTCTTAAATGGCTCTTTTAATGAAATGTATTTCTTTAATGAGTAACACACAGACGACACATCATATTTGAGTGTACAGTAATGCATTCTGTGGTACTCTTATCCCAGAAATGATGCCTTATAAAGTCACATTGAAAAGCGCATACACAGTTTTTCCACCCTCACTGACGCAAAATAGGCAACACTGATGATTTTCAGCATATTTTCTAGTCAGGTCTGCTGATACCACACGCGGTGAACGGCCCACAGTCCCAGCAGAGACATGCTGCAGCTGCTGTGCTGGTGCCTCTTAGATCTTCAGGACTTGGGCGATGTTTTGCCCCACTTACATGCAGCAGCTTTGTGAATTAAAAAGGCTCCACAATAAACCCTGCTTGTGCTGCAGTGGATAGCAAAGCCTTCCTGTGGGTCTGAATTAGTGTTCTTGGACTTGTACCCAGAGTCCCTGCAGCCAAACAAAGCTGAGGGAAGAATTTCTCTTTGCTGCCTAACGCCAGCAGAGGGGAGTGTGCTCAAGTCAGGAGGAGCATGTGAGTGTGTCAGCTGTGACGGCTGAAGCCTCAGATGTGTCTTAGCAGCCACACCCTGAAATGAAACCGCTCACTGACAAAACCACAAAGACAGGCAATGACGAACAGTATTCATCTGAACATATACATTGTTAAAAGTCTGGTACACCTGCAACATTTCACATATCTGTTACTTATAGCTGATCACAAATATCTGTAGTCTCAGCACTACTCCTACTTATAAACATAGCAGTTTAGAAAAATGATTAAATATTATATTGACTCTGACCAACTCCAATAGCTCATGCCAGATAATAGGGATGAGCACGCCTGGCAGTTTAAATTAATTTAAATGAGTCCTCGCCAGTTTCTGCAATAGACTTTCCCAAGGGCTCTAAATTGAGCTTTTTTACTTGAACTAGCTGTCACTTAGGAAACAAAACTGAAAAACATACCGCCTCAGCAGATGAACAGTCTCCCTCCTGCGCAGTGCAGAGGGCTAATATTTAGAGTTTTTGTAAAAGGGAAAAAACAGGTTAAAGAAAGTCTTTCTGCAAGGCTTTATGAAATAGTCTGAGATGAATTATGCACATCCACTGGCTTTTGATATCCATCCCACAGGGCCTTTTCTCTTTTCATTAAAGCTCTATTTTTTCCAACTATGCATCCCTTTTTTAGAGAAAATGACTGGGCAAAATCCTTTAGTTCAAATCAGTGCAAGATTAAACAGCTTATTGTGTGTGCTTTTTCTGAGGCTGATGGCTGCTCACTGGCTGGAGGCTGTGATATTTTACACCAGCCTAATTTGGCAAGGCCACTATGTTGAAGTGGCACTTTGATATTATCATAATGGAAAAGAGTGACGGGACCTCCAATCAATACAATCAAACTGAAATCAATTGCACACCATATAGCTACATTAACAATGTGTGACTGCCTGAGATGGTTATCTGAGGAACTGGCAGCAGGTGGACTCACACATCTGTGCATGTGTTGTCTGCCTATGCCTCTGATCCAAACTGGTTAGACTGGGATATGTAATCTGGATTTTTTTTAAATGCAATTTGACATCAGAAACTGAATGTAAGTGGCTTGAAAAACGTAACTGACACTATAAATATATAATATTCAATCATAAAACATCCCTCCACACATGTTTGGGGACATATTATTTTAACATACACTTCCTGACCCTGATGAAAGCAGAAATCCTGCTCCTACTAAAACACTGAATGCTGAATGCAGCTGTAGTGCAAACTGGAGACACCTCAGTTGAGCTGTTGTGCCCAATCAGTTGGTTAACAGTCTAAAAGTCATCCTCACACACACAGACATCCATTAACACTCCCACATGCACAGTGGCACTGTTTTCTAAATCACAATTAATATCTAATTCATAATTAATTAATGACGTTGGATCTAATCGCCTGGATATATCTCTTTCTCACATCTCCGATTAAAAGGAGATCCAGCTCAGTTGCATTCATTATAGCGGTGATACAGTGCACACTTGCAGCGCGCCGTGATCCCGCCATTTGGTAAGAAAAGACGGGTTATAATAACCATGAGACACGCGGCTCATCCATATTAGAAGAGTCTTTAATGAACTCGGACTGTAAAAGACACTCCTCCTGCTCCGGGCTCCCACTGCTCCCGTGCGGAGTCGATGCGCGGAGAGGAAATTCAGAGCCCTATCTTTATCAGTATCAGCGTCGCCTTGAAGACAAAGAAGAGCACAGCAAATGAAGATATGCTCCAATAGCAGGAGAAGCCAGTCTTAAAGTCACTATTTCTGCAGCCGTGCCCCGCCTGGAGGCAGACAGGCACCGGTCCTAGGAGACTCTTCGGGGATGCGCAAAGATGTGAGAGCAAAGAGCGAGAGGCGCTGTGATTGGCCGCACTCCTTCTAAAAGCATCAGGCACGGCGAGTCATGTTTGCTCCAGCCAGAGCATCAACGAGGTGGCATCAAACTTGAAGGAGACGTGTTCTCGGTGTGCACAGTCGATGCGTTCACAACGTCAACCATTAACTTGCATCATTCCCCCAAAGAGGCGGACGCGCTCTCCGTGGTGCTGAAACAGAACAGACTTGGCTGATCAACTAGTGAAGAAGAGGAGGACGCTCTCACTGAGCTCTCTGAGCTTCGTGCTATTTGCCAGCTTCAGCAAGGTAAGTCCAACACTGGATGTGTCGTGCAGGAAAAATACAGATAAGCTGTTTCAGTCATGACTCTGAGAGACTGAATTATAGACTCCACACTGCTCTGTGTCTTTGTTGTCCTGAGTGTCTGCATGGGTTTCATTTTGAAGTTTGCGATCATTGATTGATTATAGCTACAAAGTTACAGCATCAATCTCTCGTGAGTTGACTTAGCTTGCTCTACATGATTGAGTCAAAAGTATTGACTAAGTATTGAACCAAAGATGTCACAGATTGCCTGTTGATTTCACTCTGTGTGCATGTCATTAAGTGTTTTACTTTCCAAAATTTCCCTTGGTGTCCATTCAGCTGTTACCTCATAAATTAGTTTTTGCTTCCTGCTGTGGCGTTGAAACCTTTTAGCACCAAAGTTTGAGAATGAATGCTTTGCTTGTCTTTTCTCTATTAATTATGCTTTTAGGGTGCAGTGCATTATGCAGCATTTACTTTGACTGTAAACACAATTCATTAGTGTTGAAATGATGAGACCATGGGGTCATTGCAAGATTAAGCATAATATTGTCTATTGACTGTAATTGCACTTTCTTTTTTGTGCTTTCAAGTCTTTTTCTCACACGTCAAGATATGACAAAGGACAGATTCATTGTTGGGGTGACAGTAATGGGTGCATCTGGTGTCTGTCACATGCAAATAAAGCAGTGAAACTGCTGCAGGCATCACTCCTCATGCTTTGTTTGGGTTACATTATGTACAGTAGAGACTCTTTGTATTGGAGCAGTGACTGAGGGAGCTAGCGGTGTGTGTTGGACTCTCACTTTGCTGCCTGCTGGTACCTGATAACTTCGTGCTGCACACATCCGTATGGTATAGCATTTTGTTGGTGCTCCGCTAGTGGTTCTCAGGCTTCCCAAATCAATTTATGTGGAAAAAAACAACAACAACTTTGTACTTGATGATGAGGGTCAGTGATCCATTTCACAGTTTTTAATGGCTTTTAATTTTTTTTCTAGCTCGGCAAACCTGTGACTTGAGCACAATCAGAAAATAGAAAAGATCAGGACAGAGTTTGTGTGTGTTTCTCGGGTGTCACATAGGATTGGTGTGTTTGCTAGACTATAAAAATAGCTACTGCAAACTAACTGGCCGCAGGCGTGCATGTATTTTGGGTTATGCCACTCGTATAGCGTAAATGATTTTGCTCCAGCATCTTGAAAACAACCTTAAGCTTCGTAGGGACTTTAAAACTCTAGTCGCTTCCAGAGTGTTGTCCAAAGAGATCCAAATAAAAGCTGCCAAATGAAACCAATGGAAAGTGATTATCCAATAAGGAGGTTTGGAGTATTGCATTTGCCACTTGTTTTCCTTTGATTTTCAACATTCACTTTGTGTGTTGGTGGTCAGTTATAAAAAGATTGTTTGGATCTTGAAGATCTTAAACCACTGTAATTGCAAGTACTGTGACTTACTTGCTTTAATTAATTACCCTGTCGAGCTGAGAGGGAGCGTGGGTGTCATCAAAGCAGAACAAGGCCCCTTTGAGGTGGGAAACTTGTGGCTGAATAACTTAAGTTGGGATCAATTTCAAAAGGCACGACTTAATTTCAAAGGCAAGTTTCTCTCGTCTTTTGTATTAAATTACATTTTGCTATTTCCTATTCCAGTTATTAAAGTCAGTTAGCTCTAAACTCTGTAGGCTTAAAGCTGCAACAAGTTTGCACAGTGGTGGCTGAAATCCATCCAGTCTTTTACACTTCATAATAAGGATTAGATAACTACGTAAGCATTGAGTCAGAGGATCTAACATTACTGAATGCAGGTTTCGCAGCTATTTACAAAATAGTTTGTATTTTGCTATTGTGGAAATGTAACACTTCCCATGGACAGACGAAAGTCCCTGCCAGTGTCCATTGCATAATTTAATTTGAGTCACATGCCTTTACTGGAGGAGCTGCCATGTTCTTCCTTTATTCTGCTAGACTTTGTAATGTACGTAGAACACAGGTGTATTTTCACCTGAAAAGCTTGTCAAGGTACTTGACACGTGTGCCAGGTTTGTCATATCCACTCCTCAAGCAAAGACAAACCCTCAATGAGCTCATAAACAGAGCTGTAATTGCCAGTAAGGTTGCTCAGCGGCTTTAATCAATTACTGTGCCGTCCTCCATCCGGAGAGATGCAGAACGCAGGTGTCATCAAAGCAGAATGAGGCTCCTTTGAGGTGGGAAATGCAAGTCTCAATGACTTCACTCAGCTGGGTCACTGGACACACAGCAGAGCTTTGACGCGTACAAATTGTGCTTGAAGATGCTGTGCTCATCCTGGGAGGCTCAGCGGCTGGCAGGGGCCCAGCGGAGCGGGGACATTGCACTCCAGATGGCCCAGTGAGGCCAGAGGAAGAGAGCTGTCCAAGCCCAGCTGGGAGTAAGGGAAGCTGGACTGCTGGTAGTGTGTGTGTACGTGTATGTGTGTGTACGTGTGTGTGTACATGATTGTGGGAGGGAGGCAGAATGAGAGACATGGTAAAAAGACAGAGAGAAAGAGGTACTATGTATGTACGTATGAGTGCGTGTTGAAGGAGTGATTGGGAGAGAAAGGGCTGGTGAGAGAGGGAGAGCAAATGAGAGCGAATGAAACAGGCGCCTCAGTGTGTGCTTGTGTGCGTGTGTGTGTGTGTGTGTGTGTGTGTGTGCATGCATGGAAGTAGCAAAAGGAAAAGTGTGGGAGGGAGAAGAAATAAAAGAGAAGATGAAGGAGCTTGTATGTCTGCACACTTGTGCTTATGTGTGTGTATTTTTTGTGTGTGGGTGTGTGTGTGTGTGTGTGTGTATGTGTGTGTGTGTATGTGCATTGAAGAAGTGACAGGGAAGCAGAAAGGGTTGGAGACGCAGAAAATGAAAGAGAGAAAGAAACAGGCGCATGTGTGTGTCTGTGTGTGGGTGGGAGAGAAAATGAAACTGGAAGAAGCAGGCATGTGTGTGTCTATGTGTTTGTGTGTGATTGCAGAGAGAGAGCATTACTGGGAGAAAAAAAGGCAGGAGAGACTAAAGACAAAAGAGGGGAAGAAAAAAGGGGAAATTGTGTGTCCCTGGGAAAGTGAGTGTATGAGGGGTGAGACAAAAATGAAATGAAAGAAACTGGTATGGTGGGATGCTGCTATTGTGTGCATGTGTGGAGAGTGTTGTGCCAACATGTGTGGTCTCACTGTTGACAGTGGCATTCACTGATAATATTAAGCAACAAATCAAAGCTGCGTGGCAAATTACACACAGAAAACAAGTAGAATGGAGGGTTACCTCAAACAGAAATGCAGCTTTTCATTCAGTCAGTCAGCTCTGACCTCTGACTCTGTGATCTAATTTATTCACATGCCTGTACAGGAGCAATGTGACAGCGGTCGTGGTATATGCGCTTTATGGCACATGGCTTCAGGCACTTGCCCCCCTGCTGTGAGCTCAAATATTCACTCCTCGCTCTGATTGAAAGGACATGTTGCATGTGTGTTGCACTTTTTTTCCCCCCCTCCTTTTTCTTTTGTACTGCATGTTACACCTTGGAGCCGTTGCTCCCGTTCTAAAGAGAAGCCGCCTGAGAACAAGCGCAGAGCACATGACGACAAACACACAGCGGCTCCACTGAGATAACTTCGCCTCACTGTTTTCCATTTGGGAGGCCGCTAGAGAGCAGACAGAGAGAAAGCGTGCTCTTTTCATTCTGCCACATCTGCTCTCTGATGGAATGGAGCATGATCTGCACTTTGATCACGATGAATTATTCCTATCCCTGGCTATAAATATGGTCTGTCTTCAGCACCCAATCTCTACTTAAACCAGGAATCTGTGCTCGCCTCAGAGTAGCACTCTCCTGAGTGTGTCACTGCGGGCGTACTGCAGCTCTGGTTTTCTTCCTCACATAGTGAAGGAACCAGAAGCCCCACTTCGGTGAAAAACATTTTTCTGGAGAAGACTGTGATGTATAGACCCGGTCCAGTAATGGCACTATTTTGTGCAAACTGTTGTATATTAGAAACAACAAAAGAGCTTTGTGTTCTTAAAGGACTGTGCTGGTGTTATTGTATGTTTTGCCTTTTACAACAAACCCCATGAAAAGACCAAAACCAACAATATGTTGGCCTATCTCTTAATGCTTTCTTTGTTACACCCAAAGCCAGAAAATCAATAAAGATGTCCAATCATAATGTTCGCTCCCTGGCATCTTCATCAAAAGTACTGATCAACATAAAACATATAAACCATACAACATGACAACCATAATCTTTTTACATATTAACTGCCTATTGAAATTTATCTTTTGTTGCTGTGATGTAAGTCGATAAAGCTTCTGTAAATGTTCTTTATACACAAAATAAGCCATGTGTGACTGGTACAGTGAATCTTGATCACAATTTCACAAACAGACTTGATACAAACATTTCCCACAAGGGCTGACAGGTAACTGATTCTGTTAAATAGCCCCACAGCACTGACTAACTCTGCTTCCTAGAAATTCTGTTAATATATTACTAAATTAAATACATAATTATGTTGTAGTGACAATGCAATCGCGGCCTGGGTTATGTTCAGAGACACTTTGAGTTAATGAAACACTAAATGTATGTACCATGCTGGATTTGCAGGGAGGTGACCATGGTGGATGGAGAACATACAAAGTGCAAGACTGTGACACCAGAGGCCTGGATTTACGTCCAGACTCCTGTCTGTGGTTAGGGTTAGGTAACAAAAGCACTGTGGGTAAGGTTAGGGAAAGGTTGTGTTTTCAGTTAAAAGTTAATGACAGAAAAATCAAACTGTAGTCCTTACAAGTGAATACTGTATGACTATTTTCTGGTGAAAAATAAATAAATAAATAAACACAATTTTCAGTGATTATGCTGACATGTTCAGTATCAAAATTTTGACTTGTCAGATACAGAAATTAGCATAATTTCCTCATTATGTTCATAGAAAACATAATTTGCTTGGCATTATGTATCCTTCAAAAATTTACTAACT